CCATAGACTCCCTTTAGTATTGCCAGAACAGATAATCGTTATTTATATCCAAAAGTGGTAAGAATAATATGATTACTTCTTAAATGACTTCAGGATTTCTATAGCAGGATCCCCACAAGAATCCCTTCTATGCAATTGATGTGGCCATTATAAAGCCTAATGATAAGTACTCAAAAATATCACATCTAGGGGCATGCAACGAAGGGCACTGCATAGGGTGTCTTAGAACGCAGATACTTACTGGCAGTCAGAGCACAGAAACCTTCTGCACTCTGACAGGTTATTCTTTTGGAATTTGGTTTTACGGAAACTGACAGCGCACACACATACCAAGAGCTTCTGGTTCAGCATCACATATGCAGATGTGATAACTTACAGAGTGTCTTAGATGTCAAAACCAGATGATTAGGCCATAGATTGATTAAGGCTAAATGGGGCCCTAGGAACGGTAGCAGTTTTAATCCCTAGACATATAGGTATAGTGAAGATGTCCTATTTGCACTGTTTGTACTGGCATAGCCCCATTAGACACCATCTACATACATGTGTGTAAAAGAGGGCATCCAGACCGGGCCCTCTAATGCCTCCTGGCGTTTGGAGTTGTTAGGCCAGTTCAGCAATCCCAGGGGCCTATCACTTTGCAGGGAAGGTGAACCAACTGTTCCATAAATTCCCCCATATATAGGCCACAGTAATTCGAGAGACTGAAGAGGCTAAGAACATACTTCGCTCCAACTTGTTTTACCTATTTGGTTCTGGCTCTGGATTAGGCATAGTATTGCTTTTAGGAAAAGCAAAAGTTCAAAACAGGGAGGAAACATGAAACAGGTACAAGTTGGCCATATAGCTGACACACATTAGGTCTATAAGCTTTATCCATTCCACATAACTGTAAACCTATTTATGTTCATGTGGGTCCTTGTTCACATACAAATATGACATGAGGGTCACCTCATAACAGTGCGTTGGAATAAACAGAAGGATAATTTTTGGCCAAAGAGGACATTAGACATTTAGTAAAGGCTTTAGCATCCTCTCCTCCAGACAGAATAACACAGACTATAGCTTCCTAGAACCCATCTTTTGTTTCTGTCATCTGCTCAGCCCAGATTCTTCTGCACACACCAATTATAAAACCTTAGGTAGAAATGTTTTTTAATAGCATACCACAGAGCAGTGAATGCATTAGTCTATAGCAACCAGCTATAGATCAATTTCCAGAAGTGCACAATGCTACAGAATGCTGAATTCTGATTCATGACATGGTATACTGCACACCATTACGTTATTAAATAAGCAAACATAATTTGCTGCCGTCATTGACAGTGAAATGGTTAAATGCTATGGTATGTTTTCCCTGACCCTCTAAGAGGGCTATGATAGTATGGTCCCACTAGAGTGTGTAACATGCTTGCAGCAACCTGATTGTACTAGATGGGCTGTGAGATCTCACATTTATACACAATTCATCCAAACATTGCTCCCTTGTGTTCTGCTTATTCTTATAAGCAGGATGACCTACATTTTCACTGACTATATAACACACAGTTGTAAGCTGTTCTCAGATTCCTACCGTAGAGCCGAACAAGCAAGCTTCCTTCCGCCTAGAATGCTCTGCTATAGCACTTTAATAACCGCACACTCACAAAGGCATACACGCAATTTGACACTGACAAAGTGGAAAACAAAGGCGCTTCATTAAAGTGCAATGAGTTCTGAATAGCCATAATATCCAGGTATGATCCTGGATTCTGACCTATTCTTTCTGCACCACATCCTAACACTGTCCAAATCTTTCCGCCCTTACCTCTGCAACATTTAAAACATTTGCCCTTTTTTAACAAATTACACGTCAAAGCTTCTAATTTGCTCCTTTGTTATCTCCCGCCTTGACTATTGTAGCTTGTTGGTCTACCTCTACAGGCTATCCCCCTTCAGTCTATCATGAATGCTGCTGTCAGATTTATTCACCTTACCACCTGCTCAGTGGCCACTGCCCGTCTCTGCCAGTCACTCCACTGGTTCACATTCAACCAATAGATACAATTCAAAATACTAAAAATAAAATACAAAGTCATCCACAACTCTGTCCTTGAGCTACATTGTAACCTTCGTCTCTCAAAATATCACCCAAACGATGCTCTCCGCTCCTCCCAAGGCCTTTTACTCTCAGGCCTCCTCGTCTCTTCCTCCCATGCTTAGCTCCATGACTTCTCCAGAGCCCCTTCCTTTCTTTGGAACACCTTACCTCAATCCACCCTAATCAATCTGTATCTCCTACTCCTGCTGTCCACCTTTAGGTCATCCTTGAAAGCTCATCTCTTTAGGGAAGCCTATCCCACCTTTACATTAAAACTTAGCTTTTACTTTCTCTATTAACTCACAATTAAAGAAAAAGTCTCATGTTGAATTATTTTTTACAGCTCAGTCACCTAACTTCCACAGTGAATGTTGCTTTTTCTACCATGCTTCCATATGGAGTAGAAACTCCAAGATACAGACTTTGACAGCTCACTACTCTTAATGGCCGACCACACTCTGTAAAGGAGATGGCCTCTTGGTTGACCGCTTGTATCTCATTGTCTCGTCATTTTCAGAGCACAAGTGAGGTCACAGGTACACAAGAGGGAGGGGCACACTCTCATCACAGGTATCAGCACAGGCACTAGAACTGGAAGGGTAGTCTTGTTTTGGGTACTATCAGTAATTGATTGTGCTAACTGTATGGTCTAATATGCATACAGCCAGCAGAGTAAGAGTTTGTATATGTGTGCAATCATGAAAATATGTAAGAACAGGCGAAAAATCAATTTCTGCATCCAGGTAAGCTTTAAAATAACTAAAAATTAATACTAACCAAAACTAAATGTTTGTTTTCCTTTCAAAGATCCTGGATATATGAGAACATGGAAAATATATCTCTGAATGAAATTATTTCTTTGTTTGTTATCTAACCAATCAGTACAGGTTGTACCCTGTACTGGGGAAGTAGTGAATTTTCATTGAAGATACACTGTTGGCTGGATTTGGAGTCTAAAAGAAGCAGTGACATCACCAACTCCATGATGTGATGATGGGTCACTGGTCTGAGCACTGCATAATGGGAGATGGTCATATGCTCCTCCATACCTAGAAGCAACGGGTATTTTGCAACAAAGGAAGGATCAATGTGGAGCGTTGGACAAGTGGTAGGCTAATTAATTAGCCGGATTTGTAGGAGGAGCCCCAAACATTTAAACTGCTCCGTCTCCCACTCTCACCTGTAGGCTTGTGGGCGTCATCCCATCCGCCTCACCCCCTTCTTCAGTTACCTTTTACTCTTGAGTATCCCCTTATTTTGCATACTGACCATAGTGACCACGGCACACCTCAGGTCATTGAAGGTAGGTCCATCATCTCAATTCCTGGGTACGTATCAGTGGGGCTTTGACCACAAGTGAGTATTAATGGGTTTGTGCTGGGTTTCCACAGACACTGTCACTTTGCCCCGAAGGTACATATTTTGTGTGATTATTGCAGTGTATGTATTAAAGAAGTTTTTTTATGTAAATTACACATTTTGCTTGCTTCAGTGTCCATATTTTGTGATTGTATTAAATATAAAGATGTATAGGTTAGCCACTAGAGGGAGCTATTGGCCCAGTGGAACCTCTGCTTAAGGCCCCTTTCACATGGCGGTCTGATCAGGTGCTCCTGTCAGTTTTTCAGGCGGCTTTGAACGGAAGCCCAATGGTTTTCTCTGGGCAGCAGGTTATAAATGAACGTGCATCTGTTTACATCCGATTTCCCCCGACTCATGATATGGAGCAGAAAACTAGATGGACACAGATTTCTCAGCAGTGACATCCCTTCCACAAAGCTCTGATCAGCAGGGGATGAATGCTGAAAGCAGAGCCTGCATATGTAATGCCTACATACTGTATGGTTGCCCTCATATGTATATATGTTTACAAACTACACAAAGAAAAACTTTAACAAATATTAGATTATTCACAACAAGCTGATCCCTTTTACATCTTATTCATAATTTTTCCTTTTTTTATCTAAACAAACCCTGAAAGACCCTTTCCATTTCCTTACCTAGGACATCACTAAACCAGGTCTGAACTTAGCAACTGCAGCCCAGCAGAGCCTATGCGATTACATAAGAGGCACTTTTCCCTCCCTTTGTTTTAATGCAGTCTTTGATAGTTGGAGCAAATAAACCGAAGGATCCCGTACTGCAATGTGATTCAGTTTCCCATTTGCAGTGCAGAAATGGATATTATAAGTTAATGCTGGCATAGTCAGGAGCGCGCGCGCGTGTGTGTGTGCGTGTGTGTGTGTGTGTGTGTATATATATGGTTGTATATTGATTTGTATAATACCAAAAAAATCTGGAGTGCCTTGCAGAAGATTACATAGATAACTTGCCTATGGTAGAGGCAACCTGATCAATCTAACACAAACATGATTTGGGGATTTATTTGTATACCAGACGTCAACAAGGCAAACTGTTCAAACTGCTATCAGTCCTTACACTGGATATCAATGGAGCATACATTAATAGGTATATGTGTGTGTATGTATGTATGTATGTATAACATCATCACAATATATTACACAACCACACACACAGACTGTGCATATAAAAAATTCCATTTTCTCATTTGCATACATACACACACTTATGTGTAAGTGCACATGCAAGGAGGTAAAAAAACATATATCATACAATATACACATACATATTTATATATAAATATATATCTCTCATACAATATAAACAGACTTATTTATATATAGAGTAAATATCTCTTACAATATAAACAGACATATTTACCAATACTGTAACTACATATAAAATGTTGACAATAACACACATAAACAATGCCATGTATGTATAGATCATGCTATAGACAAGGAGATGTGTGTTGGATGTAGACATGAGATGACATAGCTCTGTAGTAAGTTGTGGATGGAAGAAGAAGGACAGAGTTGTCAGGGAAGGGTTACAATACCTCTCAGAGAGTTTGGTGCAGGGATGATGGAAGTGCAGAGCTGCTTTGGGCTTGTTAGTGGCAGTGTGTATGGGGGGGACAGGCTGTCCTCCTATATACACCCATGATGATCCAGCCAGGCAGAGGATGTGATCAGAGGCTGTGTATGGACATCACTGGCTGTAGGACTGGAAGCAGTACACTGGGGTTGGATATTTTGGGAGGTTGGAGAGAGAAGATGCTTCACACTGCATTCATTCAAGCCCTCCTACTGACTGCAGAGTCCCTCCCCTTCTATATACTAGTATAGGGAAGCACAGAGGAAGATCCTGGGAACGGAGGCTTCCCCTCCATTGACACTCCGAAATGTAGTCCGTGCTGCAGCAGAGGAGACGCAGCATGTGATCCCAGCAGTCCTATCCTCCGATCATTTTTCAATAACTGGAGCATCCCTTCAAGTTCTCAGATGAATGCAGAGTGATCAGGACAGTAATGCTGCATTGTAATCTTCTTGCATTCCAGTTAGTGGCTGGATGTCACAGAGGTTCCCTTTGCAGTACGTGTTAAGTTAAAGAGTATTTCCACTTTTGCAGGCAAATTTGGGAAAGCGACCTATATATTTGCTATGTGACTGCGCAGCATAAGTAGAAATAATGTTTTAAAATGTATTTCTTATCTTTTAGCCCAAATTCACACTTATAGTGACACTAAACTCAGGGGTTATATCGTAAAAATACATTCAAGTACCTGAACTATTAACAAAAATGTATCTTATTTGTGTATCACTCGGCTGTAGATCCTCAAATAATCTTTGAATTTGTGCTGACACTGTCCTTCCTTCTGGAGAGTGGCTACTTTTGTTCCCCAAGGTCCCTGTGTATGTTGTAAAGTAGCCACTGCTCCAAGCTCGCTCCTGTGATGGACTACAATCTCAGTACAAATTAGTAAACTAAACATCAGATAGTAGTCCATCACGGGAGTGAGCTTGGAGTGGTACACTCCAAGATGGTGGCGCGCATGAGCAGAACACACCAGCAGTTTCAGTGTACGGTTTCGTTTCTGACGAAAACGAATGAAAATATTTTGTTTTGCCGTGCACATGTCTAGCTGACACTGTCCTTCCTTCTGGAGAGTGGTACTTTGTTCCCCGAGGTCCCCGTGTCTGTTGTAAAGTAGCCACCACTCCAAGCTCACTCCCGTGATGGACTACAATCTCAATACAAATTAGTAAACTAAACATGAGATTGTAGTCCATCATGGGAGCGAGCTTAGAATGGTGACTACTTTACAATACACACAGGGGGACCATGGGGAACAAATATAGCCACCCTCCAGAAGGAAGGACAGCATCAGCACGCATTCATAAGGAGTGAAACATGTCAGAGGAAGGATCCTAGGAGGAGTGTTAGTGCTTGTGCTGAATAATAAAGTTGATTTTACCACAACTTTTCTGAATTATATTCTCTTTCTCAAATAACTCAATTTTTCTCCCATCATTTGGCTAGGTTTATTTTAAAGTAGACCTACGAAATTCCTATTGAGCATACTATGAAACAACACGAAAGCATAGGTTACCTTCAGTGACAGCCACATGACAAAAAGACCCATAGATCCAGAGGTATAGGCAGCCAAAGTTATGTAAATGTTTCCAGTAAACGTTGAGCTTTCCTGAAAGTTATCTGAAGGTAACTTTTGCTTATACATTTGTTTCGATCACACTGGATTTCCCAGGTTTCTGACAAGTTTATACTCAAGTGATATTAAAGTCATAAGGTTTTTAAGCTATTTTAAATGCTGACTTAATCACTTACAGTGGGAGTTGCTCCTTGATGTTTAAAAGTTTTAGTTTCCTGTAGAATCAGCTAGTTCTCTGAGCACTAACCCTGATATCCTGTTTTAGGGTGGCTCCTTTCCCTTGCAGAGTCCTATGGAGTCACCCTTGCGTGTGCTAGTATGCTGTGTGTGTCTCCACAAACACACAGACACAGCAAGGCAAGCCACTGCCCTGCTCCTTACTTCTCCTACTTCCTTTCTCCCTTCTCCAAGCTAGTAGATGAACAGCTGCTGAAGACTGTGCTGTCCCTTGTGATCCTGTACTGGACAGGAGGTTCAGGGAAGCTGAGCTGAGAGAGTTTGAGCCAGGCAATGGGAAACATGATGACTGTAAGTGCTTGGGCAAAAATGCAAAGAAACACTTTGCTGGGCAATACATATTTGTTTGATCTGGATTAATTATAAAAAAAAGTTTGGGGCGTTTATTACTACTTTAGCTACCTGGTCTGGATCCCCCACCTTCCAGCCCCCACCCACCTTGGCCTGCCCCCAGCACCCTTTACAAAAAGAAAATCTGTATGCATACCATTTATCCAAATCTTTTCAACCCAGTCTGGTAGCATCACAGGTCATCTTCACCCTCTTCTTCCTCTGGCGGTTGGTGGATACTAAATGCAGCAGAGAGCAGTGGCACGTGATGACACATCCTCTTGTGAGCCCAGGGTGAGGGGTGGAGCCCCTGACACTGTGGGCTCACAGGAAATGTGTTAAATGATGTCGGGTGTCAACCAGGAAGTGGAGGAGCACAGTATGGCTGGATCGGTGAGTGTAATGTGCACACAAACAGAGAGGATGTGAGGAAATCAACTGACGCTGCTTTTTGTTTTAAAGAGCTGTGGGGGAGCTGTGGGGGATCTATATATTTATTTTTTTACCCGAGCTGGAACTGGGCTATAAGTGATGACCTTGGCTTTACATTTGTAAATTTACCTTTACATATAAATTGGTGCAAACGTCAATGCAACAGCACACTTGCTGACCTGTGCAATAACACCTTTAGTTAACCGAAAACAATTCAAACTGTAAAAATGAGGAAATAAGGCACGATAATGAAAATTCAGCATGAGTTGTGCTTTTAGTAAATTGGTACAATTTTATTATGCTGCGTTCGAGGCTAGTGAGGTCAATGTATAGATAATCTAAAGTTGTGCACTATGTACTGTATATGTTCTATAGAGGTAGACATAGAGCAAGTAATGTAGTAGTAGGTATAGCATGTAGTATGTACCAGGACCATGTTCACTTCCTGTGTACATGCAAGAACTCCAGTGATGACACCATGGCGTTTCTCAGGGTGCATTTTCTAATGGTGACAACAGTAGACTATGCCTGCATAATGTATGCTGAAATAGTCCTTTGTAGTCTCCATTGGAAGCCCCTGTGACAGGGTGACTATTTAGGAGTACAATAAGAGAAAGGAACGGAGCGTTGTCACCCTGTAACAAGAAGTGTCTGAACAAAGACTTTTATGGCAGGATCAACAGGTATTATATTAATGAAAGCTAATGATCTGAAATGACATTAAAATGGTACATCTTACATGAGACTTTAGTGATTGGTTTTACATATACTTTATATGGAATCAGTGAACACTGAACATACATCAGCTATGAGCACATAGAGATATAGACTGGCACACTGGGATATGTGTTATGAACACCAGTATGTAACATTGCTTGCATTTAGTAGCTCAGCGCAAAAAAATTGGCTTCCATGAAGCTGTACATACCAACTATTTTTATTCCCTTATTCATGTGACATTTTGCTGATAACTCTTGCAGGAAAATGTATTGACCAGGCTGGATTTTCATGGCTGATTGGTATTGCTCCCCTTAGATAATTCTGGTTCCAAGTTGCCTATACTCTACATACACATGCAACACTCCATCCACATGAACACATGACAGATTCCATAACCCTTTGACTCTTTTGGCTCAGGCAAACTGTTTCAATCTATTCAGCTGAGGATACCTAAATTGGTTTCATGCATATTTAGGATGAAGGAAAACTTCTGCATAACACGCAGCAGACTTCTGTCATGAAGAACGCTCAGCTTCATTTAGTAATCACTTCTACAAGAGGGTCAAAAATGGCTCTGCAGGTTCTGATGCAGGGGCTAAACTTGTCTAACCTTCCGTCCAATCAGAAATGTAAGTGTGACATCATCATGCACTCACATAACCGAACCTACCTGAGCATTCAAGAGTGTAGTATACTGTAGTATTCTACTGAAGTCCAGCTAAGTCAAGGACCAAGTTGGCAAACAGAGCCTTGTCATAGCTGCAACTTCTGTGATCCCTGGAAGATATACTTTTTTTATTTTGATAGCCCAATTGAAGTCACAAAAATAGATATTTAGTAAGACAGACATTGTTAAACATGTACCCCTGTTCATGTTGTAAGGTGCTTACCAGCAAGCCTGTACAAGTTAATAATGGCCCTATCCTTAGGATTGTGGGCAAACGCGCTCCAAATGGTGGGCACATGTGTGCTGGTGGTCGCACACGCAGATGTACACACAAGCATGTTTGTATTAGAAATCCTGCGCACAGATGTTAGCGTGGTGTGCTCATTCCGGCGTGTAGATGCACATACTGCTCATTGGTGCCAGATGGTATTTAAAAACCAGTGTGAACAATGAACTAGTTGCTTACTGGTCTTCAGCTCTTTCCTGTTGCCCTGCAATCTGTTCCTGTGACTCTATTGATTCGTGTAGAACCCTGGCCTATGATCTCGACTTCACTGCTGAACTACCAACTTATCACTTCACCTGTATATCTGATTATCCTGTGTGTGACTCCAGCTTGTGATCTTGACTCCGCTTCTGACTATCGATTTGGCATCCTGTCTGCTCATCTGATTCTTCTGTGCATGACCGTGGCCTATGACTATCTGCTCAGCCTGGACCCTACAGTTCTTGACACCTGGTGCTCCAGCCATACTGGGTCCAGTTTCCTGTTCGGTTCCTGTGGCCGCATTTCCCATTTTTATAGTTAGTCTTCATTTCTCTTCGCATTTTTCCCCAAATCTCTTCCCAAAATTTCCAATTTTTATAGTTAGTCTTCATTTCTCTTCTTGTCTCTTCTGACTATCGATTTGGCATCCTGTCTGCTCATCTGATTCTTCTGTGCATGACCGTGGCCTATGACTATCTGCTCAGCCTGGACCCTACAGTTCTTGACACCTGGTTCTCCAGCCATACGGGTCCAGTTTCCTGTTCGGTTCCTGTGGCCGCATTATCCTGGTCATCGCACTCAAGCTCCAGCACAAAACATCACCATATCATCTCATTAGCACCCGTGCCTCCTTAAGTCCTCCCTCCGCCTGTTACCATCTCCAGGGGAGTTGGACTAGTGGTGCAAGAGTCTCCATCCAGATACATGGCAGATGTTCTGATGTGAGTTTTTGAGATGCTTGTGTTGTGCTTATGTAGGTACTATAATCCTTTAAGAAGCAGTCTCTAGTACTACAGGCAGAAA